ATATGAGAAGAATAATCGACTGTGATTGGTCAATTTCTTATGGCTTACGAGTTACTACTCTCATTGTAGATGAGCTTAAGAATTCTACAATATGTCATATGCCGGTATCGTAAACAGTAAGAATTGATCAATTGCAGTCGAATATGAAGAGAATAATGGACCTTACTAGCTATGAAAAGTGTTGACGAATTTTGTGTTGCGTGCCATTTCATTATTATGTGCTTAATTGTGAAAATGTGACTTGACTTGTACATTTATCAAATTTGTAAAAATAGATGGAAACTAAAGTTATTTTTGAATTTTATACATAAAAGCATATTTTTTATTCCTTTTAACAGCTTTCAAACCAGAATAGGTTTTATTTTACATGCCTTTTACGACTATATTTACTGACTATCAGGGGGAAAAGAATAGCACCCATTCATTTGTTACAAGTTTTTTATAACAATAAATAAATATAAGGGGCTATGAGCCAAAGCTGGATATTATTATATTTTGATGTACAACAAATAACAGTCAATAAATAATAAAAATATACAGACGTTTCGATCCCGATTGGATCATTATCAATGTTTCAAACGGTAATCTTAATAAAAATGTTAAATTTAAAATAATTTAAAAATACTTTACAATAATTAATACGTAAAGCGATAAAAGCGTATACACAGTCCATATGTAACATAAATGCAATCCAAAATGATAAAATTGTGTTGGTTTTCTAACATTGTTGCGTTGGTTGCGTTGGTTGGCAGTCTTTCCAAATTTGAAGTGTAGCCTTTTAGATTTTACATAAGTCTATTTGAAAACTTTGGTAAAGAATTCGTTGAGATGTCATATTATAACTCAATTCAGAAAGTCTGCGTGATGTTTTTAATTTTGATAGTGTTGCAAAATATATTTTATAATTATTTTTTTTTTTTTTTTTTTTTATAATTAATATATCATTAGTTTATTTATTGTACTATTATTTTTATTATTACCCCAGCAAACGAAAATTAATTCAAATAAATTGAAAATTTAATTAATTTCAATTAATTTTAATTTATTCGAATTGATGCTTTAAAGTCAGGAGGTTCCCATTATTTTTGGATTCAAATAAATTCAAATGAATTGAAATACGAAATGATCTGTTCATCATGTTGAACTCGGATGTATTCATGTTTGTATTATATTGTTTTCTAATTTAAATAAATTGAAACAGGAAAGAGCTATTCACTATATTAAATTCGGATGTATTTATGTTTGTATTATATTATTTTTGGATTCAAATGGATTCGAAAAATCAGAAGCGCCAATTTGAAAATATCGAAATGAATTGATTTCTATCCATTTCAGTTTATATTCGTTTGCTGGGACGCGGACTTCCTGGATTGAGTTAACATGAAATCTCAATGAATTCTTTATCAAAGTTTTCAAAAGGGCTTATGGAAAGATCAGTTACACCTCAAATCTGAAGAAATTGCTATTGATAATGTTAGAAGACCAACACAATTTTATCATTTCGGATAGCGTTTATGTTGCACATGAACTGCGTGCGTGCTTTTATCGTATTAATTATTGTAAGATTTTTAAAATTATGTTATATTTAACGTTTTTATTAAGATTATCGTTTGGAACATTGATAATGACCCAATCGGGGTCAAAACGTTGAAAAGATATTGTAGAAACGTCTAATGTCCGGTGAAATTGATGTTTTTAGAACATTTGTAAGACATTACAATTCAACTTTGTTCATTATTAATTTAATCCGCACAGAATAATAATATTTGTTAGATATCTATTCGATTTTTATGAAACCAAAATAAAAACCATTATAAAACGTTAAAAAATATATATAATTTGAATATACTGTGTTTCCAAGGGATCAATTCCTTCTAAACTAATTCAGATCCAACGGTCACTCGTTCAAGTCACGACCGCTACCAACATTGCTTAATTCTTCACTTCTATGATCGGAAATTGCAGACACTTTGTGATGATCCATAATTACTTGATGTTATATCATGGATACATATTCGTGATAGATCAGATTAATAAAATTATCAAAAAGATGAAAATATATCTTTTTATAAATGTTAACATACAATAACATGATCGATAATCAAAATGACCAACATCGATTTCCGCGTAAAAATTTAAATATCGTTCGTAAATAAGCCTCGTTAGGAGATCAAGTTGAAATCGTGATAGTTTCTATTTACGTAAATTTGTTCATATTTAACAAAATTAACTAAATTACTTGTTTATACTTCAAACATAGACTTAAAATTTTAGAATATAATTAAAAAATACATGGTTTATTAAAATTTTATTTGTTTAAAAATTTATTTAATAAAAATAAAAATAAAATTAGATATATATATATATTTTTTTTTTAATGCAATGTTTTTTATTAATTGTTTAAAAAATAATAATTTGTTCTATATAATTTCAACATTGCAGCAACATTAACAATCAATGTAGAAAATTCAACATAGACAGAACGTTGAAAAAACATTCCCACTACACATTCAACATTGCAACGTCTCAGCAACGTTCTTTCAACGTTCTGTGCTGTATGGGTTTACTATTATAAATTTTTTTAAAGCAATCCTATTTTTTATTTTATCAAAATTTTTTTTTTTTTTATTTAAAAATGGCATGCAACAAACTTTTACGTGTCATTTCTTGTTTAGACGTCACGATTCCAATATGGCCGTGGTGACTAATCAGGAGCCTTACAGTATTCTAATTTTGTTTGAATGAAATATTTATTTTCAATATATTTATATTGAAAATCAGAAACTTTTTGGATAATCATGTTGACAATGAAAATCTTATTGAGATTGACATATGCCAACATGTTTTTGTCTCTTGAAAAATATACAAAATATACAAAATGTTAAAGTTCTAGACATTGTAAACCTTAATGTCCTAGATGTTATGATCTAGATCTTATTTAATGTGCTTGCAGTTCCAGCAATATAAAAGAAGCGGGCATCCGAAAGCATTAGATGATAGACCAAAAGAGAATGGACAGGCAGACGAAGGTCAGCAGCAGAATAAGGTATCAAAAATCGTATTATTGATACAAACTTGATCAGACCATATGTGCACAAACATTCACAGATACATATACTTTTCATATTTCGCACTAATCATGGATAAATGGAGGTGTTTAAGATTTGTCTGAGAGTCGCATTTGTGGAATTTTTTCACTTTGCATGCTCATGTTTAGCATATCTACCTTTTTCCCTCACTTATTGACGTTGTATTATTGACGTTTTACTTGAAACTTTAATTTTTTTTATATTGTTATATCGTCGAAGTCTGTAAGGTTTTAGCTTGAGCGAGAGCCGTAAATCAAATCCGCGTTATTGGTTGGTATATAATTGATGTACAATTATGTTTCTTCTGCAACGTCTATTTAAATACTGATGCAATTCATATCATTGAATTATCGTTAACATCGTAATTTTAGAATTGTATCATTATTCTATCGAAATATCTTTCGTGTTTCATATCGCACGAGATATCAAAGACCGTATAAGATTTTACATAAAATTATCATAAACATTTACATGAACATATTTTTGTAATTTTTGTAAGTAACACTTAAATAGTAATACTTTTTCTCAGATGATATATGAATTATTATTACAAAGGACCCGTCACAAAATTAGTGGAAAAATTGGCTTTCGGTGGAATCGACTGAATTTTTAGTATATTGAAAATGTTGACACTCTGAACAAAAGTCTCCTTGGGTACTTCCAAGAATGGCAAGTTTTTAAGATATGACTTGTCAAAACTAGTCAATTTTTGTCATTTATGGAGGAAAATGTAATACACGTTTTGTTCAAGCGCGCGCGCGCGCGCGCGCGTGTGTGTGTGTGTGTGTGTGTGTGTGTGTGTGTATTTACATACTATAATACAAAACTAAGAACTCCGTGGTTCGTCAGCTCTGCAGTATTTTATGACTTCACACTCACCTTATGGTGTGTGTGTTTGTGTGTGTTGTGTGTGTATTTGCATACCACACGAATAAGGACTCAGTGTTTCATCAATTCTACAGTATTTTATGACACATCCTCCTTGTGTGCATATGTGTATGTGTTGGTGTGCACGTGTGTGTTGCATATCACAAAGATAGAACCCCGTGGTCAGCTCCATTCTATTTTATGACTCCATTTCCATCCTGCGGTGTGCGCGCGCGCGTGTGTGTGCGTGTGTGCGTGCGTGCGTGCGTGTGTGTGTGTGTGTGCGTACGTGCGCGTGTACGCTCGCACAAAACATATGTATTACATATTCCTCTATAAATGACAAAAATTGACTAGTTTTGACAAGCCATATCTCAAAAAATAGCCATTTTTGGAAGTTGTACCCATGGAAACTTTTGTTCAGAGTGTCAACATCTTCAATATCTATATTAAAAATTTCTGACCGATTCTACCGAAAACCAATTTCCACTAGTTTTGTGAGGGATCCTTTTTTTATTTGTCATTCATCAATTCGCTGCATCCACGAGAATGTATCTATCATAGTCGTGCATGATAGTAGTACAATCGCGTAGTTGTGTAGTCATGTAGTATAGATGTAGTTTTTGGGAATTGCGCGGCAATGCAGGAGAGACAATGCGAGCGAGGCATTCTGAATGTAGTGTTGTGATCGGGCAGAATGAGACTGAGCAGGCAGCAAGCCAGCCGATACAGCAGCAATACCAGCAACATCATTCGCAGCAGCAACAGCAGCAGCAACAATCGGTACAAAAACCAGGTACAGAGAAGTCCACTGAAGTTGGCAGTAGACTGAGCAATGGGAGTCTCGATCCAGCCGAGCAGGACTCTGCAGTACGAGTAATAGATTTGCAAACTACTCTTGACAAGCAGGTATGAATCAATATTATATGGTGGAATGGATAGAAAAATTCAACTATTAACATACAGAACTTCAGGTAGTTTTTCATCTCTGTATATTATATATATACGTATATGAAGATCATGAGTGATTTTTATATAATCTTTCTCCTGCAACATAATTTTTATTCCTCGACTTTTAATGAAACACACACATGCACATGCTTGTACAAACGCACATGTATGTGTACATATATATATGGTCTGGCAGAAAAGTAATGAGACCGTATTAATGTAAGAAACAAATCTATTTATTCATCAATAAATATACAATCCCCTTCAAAGTAATTCCCTTCCGAAGCTACACACTCATAAGAGATGTTGCTCCCACTCTTCAAAAACATGCTGATACTCTTGGACTGAAATCGCCTTTAGTTGGTCGATTACGACCTTTTGAATGTTCTCAATTGTTCCGAAATGACGTCTCTTGCGAGTAAATTTCAGTTTTGGGAACAGGAAGAAGTCGCAGAGACTCGAATCGAATGAATATGGAGGATGCGGAAGAACTGGAATCTCTTTTTTGGCCAAAAATTGGTTGATTGTCAGTGTCGTGTGACAAGGAGCGCTGTCATGATGCAACATCCAATTGCTTGCAATGCTCGGTCGTACACGAGCAACCATTTTTATGAGACATTCCAAGACTTTTTGGTTAAACTGTTGATTTAAAATTTGATCGCGCAACATTGTTCGATTTTTGCATTACACATTTTTGCAACGCACCTCAAAAATTAGTTTTCGCAAAACGAACGCCAACATTCACCAAGTAACTCGAGGAGATTGAAACTTATACTGAAGGTCTATGAGGAGTCGATCTTCACGACTTGAAGAAGAAACTCGTAGTAGCTTGCCGGTTTGCGCAACGACACTAGTCTCATTACATTTCTGCCAAACTATAACGTATATGTATATGTAGTCTTAATGTACGCATACATGTGCATTTGTAATGTTTGTATGAGCATGTGCATATGTGTATCTCATTAAAAGACGAGGAGAAAAAATTATATGTTGCAGAAGTAAGATTGTATAAAAATCAGTATAATATATCTTACTCCCGCAACATATATGTATATATACATATATATGGAGAAAAAAGGTCGGTATCTCTGAATAACTCGCAAAATATAAATTTTATAGAAAAATGTTTTAGACAAAAATAGTAGAATGTAAAAAGACCCACTTACTGATATCAGTTTAACCTTGGGTGGCGTCGCCAAAATCATAACAAAGTCGCCTTGAATTTTTTAAATGTAACCTTTATTTTTTATTGCATATTCTTGTAGCTTATCTCGAAAGCTTTTCAAAACATTATAATAAAATATTTTTTCATTAATCATTTTTTAAGTTACAAGACTTAAAAGTTACAATACCGCCAGCATTAGCATTATCCAAGGTGTCCGAACAACGGCTAAAAACCTTTAAATGTTGTTCAATATCATGAGCTTGACAACATATCAAGATAAAACTGGTAATATCAGTAAGTGGGTCTTATTTTTACAGCCTACAATCTTTGTCTGAAACATTTTTCTATAAAATTTATATTTTTCGAGTTATTCGGGGGGTTCAATCTTTTTTCTCTACCCTGTATATGTAATACATATATCAGATGGAGAGATAGACGGAGTGAGGATGAGAAAAGGAAAGAAATGAAATTGAAGAGTGAAAAAGAAAGGAGAAAAAAAATCATTAAAAATTACTACCTGAATAAATTTTTTATTTATTGAGTCTGAAAGAAAATATTAAAATAAAAATTGCACTATTTATGTACTTATATATAAAAGTACAAGATAATATAATAGAAATATAATAGAAATATAGTAGAAATAAATTATTTATGTCATGTCTTTTAGAAGATATCAACATCAACATTTTTTTAATAACAGATATACATATTTTTCTATATATATTGATTTTTTCCAATGATTTTATATATAAAAGTAATAAAAGTAGGTACTAAAATTATACAAAATAATTTCTATTTTACATTTTTTATATAAAAATATGAAATATCTCGTGAAATGTTTACTTTTTAATAATAACGTCGCTGCAATATTTTTATGCAAATATAATGAGATAAATCAATTGGTAAAAAATACATTTACTGGCCAAAAATTTGAGACTATTGAAAATGGTCTACTATATGAAATGAAATTATATTTATGTTTTAGAATTTAATATTTTTATTATTTTACTTATTATTTTTATAATACAATAAAAAATATATAAAATATTTGAAATTTTTTACCCAAAATATTTTTACAAGATTTTTTACAAAAAAAGCAATATTAGATATTTTTTTTGTCAAAATAATTACCCTTACATTCAATTACATTTTTTTACCAATTTACTTAATCTATCTACAAGTTTATTTTTTCTGATAGAAAACTTCCATTCATCTTCTAAAATAGTTTATTGCTCAATTTTGGGAAACAGGCTTTGTGGGGATAGTGTTCATTTTTTTAAAGTTAAACAATGTAATTACAATTATGCTAAATAAATGCCTATTTATTTTTAAATTAAGAAAAAAATATTGACTATGAATAATAAGGTATGAATTAGATTTTTAAGTAGTATTTTATTGGATTATCCTTAAACTTTATGCGATCTCAAATTTTAAATTTGGTTGGTAATACTTTCCAAAAAATATGTAAATGTACACAATAATTGGAGGTACGGAATTGTAAAAAATAAAAAATAATCTAAAAATCAAATAGTTTTTATGTAAATCTAACAAAGGAATGCGTGGTATAAAAAATTTATTTTTATTTGTACTTCCAAACAATAAGTAATTTTTTTAAAACATTTTTTTGTGTTTAAGGGGTTATACCATCTTTGAGATTTTAAAATGACACCTTAAGTTTTTTTGGTTTAGGAATTTTTTGTAGTTAAATAGATAACTTTATTTAAAATCTGCT